CTACAATACATTTCTTCCAGATTTATCAAAGCGGCTAGCATGGGCGGTAAATCGTAACAAGATTAGCATATGATAAGATGGTCGTATATGAAAACAAAATCTGTTTCAATTTATATACAGGTATTTTTTGAAACGATTGCCCGGGAAAATGAGAAACATCGCTATTTTAGCCCCGACGTTTTGGAGACGATTTTTTCTAACACGCCCCAGATCCATTCTCTGCATAAAGATCACCTTCTACCTCTGCTAAAGAAAAGGATAACTGAATGGTAAGAAAAAAAGTGCTAAGTTCATATAATGACAAAAGGCTTTTATCCGTATATTTTAAGTGTAACCACATCGTTAGAAAATTAGATACCACAGTGCTACTCTAAAGGTCCGTGGCAGTCAATGTTTATAATTATTATAATATAAACCAAACTGATAAGAAAACACGTCCAATTCTCACCAATTTTATTTATTTCCATATTAAAAAAAAGGTTAGTATGTTGGAAATAAGGTCAAGATACCCAACGTTTTATCTGCTCTCTGTTTTGACTCTTATTCAGGGAGAAGCACAACAAAATAGGAGATATCATGAGAAAATATGCTCCGATGTTTAAGCTGTATTCAATTTACGTGTGTGAAATGGAAGATGCTATTGAGGCCCTTGATAAATGGATATCTAAGTCATCCAAATTCAACAATCTTTTGAAAAATATTCAGGTATAATAGGCCTAAATAATAATAATAATAATAATAATAATAATAATAATAATGATGACGATGAAGATACGATGACAATGACAGTAATATACTAATAATATTGGGTTTTTTTTCAATATGAATGCATGCTTTCTATACAAATGATGATGATAAAAATTATTAGGCTATACTGATAATTTAAAACTGATTTACTCCAAACAGAAAAAGAAGATCTGTGGTCGAATTGGACTGAAGGAGCACATGCTGGAACCTGTGCAGAGACTACCACGATATCAACTCCTATTAGAAAGCAAGTGTTAAGCCCTGTCCCGACAATCAGATTATTTTTTTACAAAAACATGTGAGACATGCCTAAATATGGTAATGGTGACGTCACATCATGACTATATATGAGCAATACATGCATACGACTGTTTTTCAAATAAAATTTGATAGTCTGGACAGGGCTTTAAATAAAATAAATAGATAAGTGCCTCAATTATGTTGGTTGGGTGATGTTATGTTTTATGCTCACCCTATCTCAAAACTGAATTATATTGCCTTCCCTATCAAATGTAAGTTTACTGTTACACTAGTAGGCCTAATTCAATTTATTTATTTTGTAACTCTTTCAGGATATCTTAAGAAATTACCAGACAATTCAGAAGATAAAGAGGATACAAACAGTAAGTTAAAACTATTGCATTGATTATTTGAGTCGTCATTTACAGACGATGAAATATCAAAGACTATTTCATGGCTCTTTATCATTGACAAATGCAACGAACGTACGTACCCACCATATTAACTTGCAACACTTCCGACTGCTAAGTTCGGTATATTATTTCCTTTAGCCATCCCAGGACCTGCAGTGGCGAATTTAAAGAAGGGCACCGGGCCGGCCGCGGCCCCATCCCCTTTTTGGAAAGTTAATAAAAAAAAGAAAAAAGGGGAAAAAAATTGATCGTACAAAACGCATCAGAGGTTATTTTCTGGCGTCTAGAAAACAAACAATTCGCGGGGGCATTCCCACGGAACCCCTAGGGTAGTGTTGTCTCGATTGGCCACACTTTCGCCCCCCCCCCCTTTCGCTCCCCCCCACTTTCAGACATCTATGGATCTGCCCCTGACCTGGGTTGAATTCCAGCCAAAACAATCAAGTTTTACTGTAAATATGAAATAAACACATCAATTAAACACTAATACAGTACTCAAAATGAGACATTTTTAGTTATTTAGCCAACTCATTGTTGATGATGTATTATGATGTATTAATGTGCTTTTGTTGCAGAGGCTTTAGGAATCATAAAAGAGGCAGCACAGCATGCTAACGACTTCATCAAATCAAGGGTATGTAATGGACCTTTAAGCTAAGCTCCGTCCCATTGATATTGTTTTAAGGTCCCTAAAAATAATAGCTTAAATGTATGTAAAGGTAAAACGTACGTGCGTAGGACACGCATATTCCTCGCCCCGTGTTGACTTGGCTAGTTGTTAAGTTGATTAACACTACAGAAAGGCCAAAAGTGTTTTTTTTCCTCATCAAGCACTTTTATAACTGTAAAGCTAATGGCCTCACAGCTTAGCTAGTAGAGCATCTGAATGGTATTCAAAAGTTCTTGAGTTCACATTACGATAGAGGCAATACGATTTTCTAAAAAAAAATTAAATCTTTTATGACTATGGAGATGTTTTTCAACATTAAACCTCACAGCTCAGCTAGGAGAGCATCTGAACAGTATTCAAAAGTTCTTGAGTTCACATTACGATAGTAGGGACAATACGATTTTCTAACAAAAATAATCTTTTATGACTATGGAGATGTTTTTCAACATTAAAGTTACTATCATGTGAATTATTATCATTGATTGAGTATCACGCAGTATTATTATAATGGGAAAATTCAATGATATACCGTATACCACTTCCACGTGGCCTAATCATATCTTAGTTGGTATGTATCCGAACGGTGATCGAAATGTCTTGGGTTCAATACCCGATAGGTGGAGACAATAACTTTTTCTAAAAAAAATGTGTTATCTCAGTTAGTGGGAGGTGTTTCACCACACCAAAGTTACTATCAATTGTTAAGTGTAGGAGCATATGGATTAATTTGTGGCCCATCCTATTTATTGCTTTCATAACATACGTAATATAAAATTCTAGTTGGTTTTTAAACTTTTTACATGCAGTCTATTCACTAACGCAGAAATACCAAAGTTATTTATAGCATTTACATATTGATTATTAAGGAAATGAGACTACGACTAATAACCATCGGAAAGATGATTGATGGAGAGAAGATTGTGACGCCAACGAGAGAAATCATAAAAGAAGGAAGCATATCTATGGAAGGCAAAAATGGACCAGAACAGAAACGTCTCTTCTTGGTAAGGATGGACAAAAAGATATTTGATGCAATATAAGGGAAGATCACAGGTATATAGAAACGTTTAGTGTTTAGATTAGTCCACATTGGAAAATAGAGCCCTAGTATAAAACATAATTACGAATTTGAAATTCTATAAACAAATGTTCATTATTTTTACTTATACTCTCTTTAAAGTTTAACGACATGTTGATGGTGTGTACTCCGACCAAGAAAATGCTATCTGGCAACGAAAATCTAAAAGTGAAATTTAAGCTTAATGTCGAGCGAATCAAGGTACAGTAGTTTATAAGCTTGATTTACGGAAAAACTCATTTTTAAAAATAAAAAAAAAATATTTCTTCATTATTTTTAAACCTCTCTGAAAGGGCTCCTCAGTGAGGTTGTTTTTATCATTTTGACTGAGACATAATGAGCTGCATCTTGAGTTTGTTCCAAAATTTCCTAATGTAAGATATCCATTTTTTCCAAGGCAAATGATTATGAAGTTGACACCACCGGTACCACATTTACAGTAAGGTCAACTACTAAAGAAGGCGTCGACTCTGAAATCTTAAAAATGCAATGTGCGTCTGAGGATGAAAAATACGCTTGGCTCCAAGTAAGTCATTTATCATTAATGTACTTGACTTTTAAAGTTTCGAAATTGAATTGAAATTTAATACCCACATACTGCCACCTAAACTTTATGTAATTTTATTCTTTTTGTTAGTGTAAATTCATTATTCCTTTGTTTCTTATTCATGTTATCGTTCATAATTGCAACAAGATATTCATAATGCATCCATGCTTTTCTATTCTAAACACACCTTTTGCTAAATTCAATATTGCATTACCAAGTATTACTGTATTATTGCCAAAGACTTTTAATGTATGTGTGCCCTACTAGAAATTAAAGTTTGTTTTGTATAAATTTTTTTTACGCGTAGCCTGTGTACGCAAGTCATGTCTTTGTTTCCGTATTTTTTTAATTTGTTATTGATTTTTTTTATTTCGTTATATACACACACACACACACACACATATATATATATATATATATATATATATATATATAATATATATAATGTAATGAATGTATTTGTATTGAAATAACATCCAATGTTGTTTTTTGTAGCAATATGATGATTATTGAATCTTATCGACAAAATCTCAAATTTCAGGCCATAATAAAAACAATGCACCAAGAACATTATAGAAAAGAAAGTTTTCGGATTAAAAAAACCGAGCAGAAACGCCGCGCACGATGCTATTCCGCACGTAGAGAACGGACTGAACAGCCCATAAATAAATCATCAATCAAAGATATTATTACTACTGGAGCCAGTAGAACGTCTACGGCTTCAGAATGTACCGATGCAGCACACGAGCAGACAAATGAAGAAAACTCAAAAAACAAAGACTGCCCACCTACATTCATACCAGAATCGAAGTGTGTGAGCAGCGAAACTAGAGAGAAAACTGGATTTTGGGGAATTTTTTCTTGGAGTAATAAATGAATGAGTTCATGAAGTCGATCTACATCATAAATTTCATAACAATTTTTGAAATAACATTATAGTACTTAACCTGGTATTCATAGAACTAACACAATCTAATTATAACTCAATGTACACTCGTATTCAATGTCATATAAGGAGCAAAACTAAATTTTGTTGCATTAATAGCTAAATCATATAGACGCCTCACTGTCCATTATATAGGCATAACCACTGCTGAAGACATGTTCTATGTTACATTCTATTATGTTTACTTCATACCGTTTTGTAAACCTACTACTAATGTTTCTTACTATGCATGTTTTTCACGAATTAATGTATTTTTATTTTGTTATATTTCGCTTTTGGTACTGCAGTTTCTTTTAAAAAATTCACTGCCAAAGCCTATATTTTCATTCTTTCCATTTACCATGGTGTATATATTCCATGGTATTTCCTCGTACAATTCATATACATGGCTAAAAAGAAAAAAAACATGTTTTCCATTCAGGCTTTTGAAAAAAAAAATGTTCTTTTTTTTTCTTTCTCACATTGATGCCTATAGCCAGAATTACGTTTTGTTTTTTTTTCGTTTTTTTTTTGGAAGAGGGGTGATTTTATTTTTGTCCAACTGGAAAAGGACTCTTATATCTCCTTGTTAGTGTCCTGGTGGAAGTAAAAGGAAGAGTTTTTTGATCAAGAAATGTATAGGTCTACTTTTAGACCACAATATTAAGAACTAAAATTAACATTAAATTTGGTTGGATTTGATTGGCAAATTAATTTTTGAGTCTAACGACATTTAGAGGTGACAAACAGGGGTGTATATTTGTCTGATGGAAGTGGGGAGGTGGTGTGGGGTGGGGAGAACTGCCCATACTGACCCTGATGGTGGCTCACTACACACATATTCGTACAATGCCTTGGCCACAAAGAGTGAGCACATGGTAATACTCATTGATTTCAATTACCATTTTGGTTATTTTGTCTGGAGAAAACCTTCTATTTTACCAATGCTTGGCTTGGAATTGCATTTTTTGGTCTTTGATAAAATAATTCAGAATGCAATAATATTGCACTTACACAAGAATACTAGTAATAAATAATAACTGTTATACAAACAATGAATGTTTATGAGTGCAATGAGAAGAATAATATCATGAGTTGAAAGATTGACTGTTCCATTTAACGAGGCGGAGCCGAGTTGAATGGAACAATTTCAATTCATGAAAATATTCTTTCCATTGAGCGAAGAAATATACTCATTATTTGTTTTATAATACACGTAAATAGATCCTTGTCATTTTATATTTTATTAAAGAATTAAGTTAGGCCTACCATTCTTGCAATAAGTAGAAATTTCAACACAAACAACTTACAATTTATTAATAAAAACAGTTAATATTTAAACTGTTCAGTCCCAATTTTGCGACAATAATTGATTTGATTTTATGAAAAAAGGTCTGCCTTTCTTCAGAATAAAACAGTCCATTTTTTTTCAACCAATAAAATTATTGTATTAGGTGAAGGCGGGAAATGGGACAAAATGAACAAAAAATGCACGGATGGAACTAAATTTTCATGAGTGACGAAATGTGTAAATAACGAATGTCACGTAATACAAAATTCCCCAATCAAATGACAAGGATTTCTTTAGGTGTGTTATAAAATAATTTATTGAATGCTAATTCAATGCTCATATTTCTGTCGGACCCTCCGCAAAGTATCGAACCCTAACTGACTAACTTTCCTCAAAATAGGAACTCAGAGAAGCAACTACAGAGGCACACGAAAGATCATTGAGTTTTCGAAGGAAGTTAGAAGAACAAAAATCAAAATCGACGGGCGAACACCCAAAAGAAATATTTAGGAAGATGCAAGGTAAAAGTTCCAATGACAACAATGGTCCAGTCACTCCTATCCACTTAACCACAAGTGGTGATGAAACAGAAATTTTCGTTTAGAAAAAACTATACAGTATATATTTAAAGTTGATAAAGCATTTCAAGTTTTAATTAAAACCTTCATAAGTTTTACTAGAATTAATCACACATTATATAATAACAGTGATGAAATAATGTAAAATAGAAGAATACAAGGTCATTCCATGTTAGATAACCAAAAAAAAAAAAAAAAAAAAAAAAAAAAAATGAGAGATTTACACTTCACTATCTCAGATTTTTACCAAATTTTGATTTGTGGGTTCATTTGTGTAAGAAAAAGCGAAATTTCAATTTTGTTTTCAAAATCGGACTAACGGATCAAAAGTTATGGCTGCTCAAAAATTGTTTTAAAAATTTTTTACAGCTCATAACTTTTGATCTGACAATTGGATTTTCATATTTGAAATTTAAGCTTTTCTGGCCAATAATCAATTTTCATGAAAATCCAATTCGGTGGGGTGTTTACCATTGGGTGATCTAACACGGAATGACCTTACAGTAGGCCTAGAACTATTTAAATTTTTATATATTTTTAGTCAAAGCTTGGCCTTCTTATATAGCCTGCAGTAATTACATGAAAAGTAGTCTTTTTTTATTATACAGTCAATAAGTTATAATATGATACCAATGTAATTTGTACTAATTTATGATTAAATTCACTTCTTACACTGCACATACTACATTTTGCTTATGTAAGTTTTGTTATATTGATAATTAGTAAGTATTATTATATTGGTAATTTGGCCAAAAAACAAATTGTGTTGGCAAAAACCTTTTCCAAAAATGAGCCTAAATACATGTAGCAAGTCCACTCTTATTTGACAAAAAGAAGTGACAAGCCTAAATATGGTCATGATGACATCCTATTATGACCATATATAGGCAGATTTTGACTATATATGGGCACATCATGACCATATATAGGCAGATCTTGACCATATATAGGCAGATCTTGACTATATATGGGCACATCATGACCATATATAGGCAGATCTTGACTATATATGGGCACATCATGACCATATATAGGCAGATTTTGACTATATATGGGCACATCATGACCATAGATAGGCAGATCTTGACTATATATGGGCACATCTTGACCATATATAGGCAGATCTTGACTATATATGGGCACATCATGACCATATTTGGGCACATCATTACTATATATGGGCACATCATGACAATACATAGGCAGATCTTGACTATATATGGGCACATCATGAATATATATAAGCAGATCTTGACTATATATGGGCACATCATGACCATATATTGCCAGATCTTGACTATATATGGGCACATCATGACCATAGATAGGCAGATCTTGACTATATATGAGCACATCTTGACCATATATAGGCAGATCTTGACTATATATGGGCACATCATGACCATATATGGGCACATCATTACTATATATGGGCACATCATGACAATATATAGGCAGATCTTGACTATATATGGGCACATCATGACCATATATAGGCACATCTTGACTATATATGGGCACATCATGACCATATATAGGCAGATCTTGACTATATATGGGCATACAACAGTTTTCAGTCAAACTTAATAGTGTGGACAGTGCTTGAAGCATGCATTTCCAAATGCATAGGGTGAGAGTGGGGTTGCCAGTGCACCCTAAATAAGGCCCAAAGTTAACCAGTAAACCTTGATTTATAAACAGGAACCAGTCACCTTGTTCCCCAGCAAACTCACCCCCACCCCTAAAAAACTTGCCCTCTGACTATACACAGTCGCAATCCCCCACCCTCTTATCTAATTTTCCCACTAACCAATGAATTTGGTTAGTGGAAAATTGATAATTATAAATAGAGTTTTTTTTTTAAATGTATATTGTGTCTTTTGATATATTATAATGAATATAAATTTATACCTATGATGGAATAAATTTAAGACATGTTTGTTTTCATGTTAGGGGCAAAGTTTGTCAAAGGGAGAGTTTGTTAGTGGGAAAGTTTGTAGGGGAGGGGGGGCGATATTATAGGGGGAAAGTTTGCTTGAGGGAGAGTCGACTGAAATCCTTATAAACATCTCCTGAGCAACACAACTATTTAATGTTTGTCCAAATGTTCACAGTAATTTCAAGATTACATGTAATACTTATTTATTTTTGGTTGTAGTTTCCCCACACAGACGTTAAAATTACTGTATAAAATGTTGAGTGCTCATGGACGAATTTAAAATTTTGAAGCACAAATAAAAATCATCTTCGAACTATCTTGTAGTAGTTACAGTAGTTGAATCCAGTATATGTAGGGTAATACACTACAGCCTTTGTACAGATTAAACATGGGTAATATTATGTACAGACTGTATAAAAACCTACATTATTTAAGCTTTGAACAATATACATGTATGCATATAAGTAAAGCTTCAGAATGGCTTACTGCAAAAGTTATAGGATTACGATTTTGAAAAGATTACTTCTCTATACCTGTAAAAACTACATTACTGATATACAAAAAGATTTGGAATTGCATCATAAATGTTCCAAGTAAGAATTATTTACTTATTAAATGTAATATCTGATTATTGTTAACCAGATTTGAAATGAATAAGAGTTTAAATTTTGAATGGTAGAAGAAGTACTGAGTCTCAAAGACTCAGATGTCAGTTTAAAGTAAAATCTATAATATTACCTTTACATTACTTCCATTATGAATTACTATGTTGAAGTTAAGAAGGCTTCCATAACAGATGATTATTTTTTTAATGCAACTTTTGAGTTCAGCCTTCGGGCCTTCTCAATGTAATTCTGAAGCTTGATGCTTTTAATGTTTGATGTTTGTAATTGTTTTTCTTTTTATTGATGCTAAATAAATTAAATTCAACAGCAGTTATAACAATGAATATAATAACAATTTATTACTTCATCTGGATATATATAAACACCTATGCAAACAAGAAAGTAAAAATATTTTAAACAAATATACATGGTTGTTAAATTACAAACCAATTTATCAACATATGAACAAAAAACCATACATTTTTGGTAATTTAAATGTGTGATTTTTAGCCAATAATTATACTGTAATGATTAACAGTGATGGCAATATAATGAATGGCTAGTGAAATGTAATGTCAGTTATTTTGAAAAGGGATTTCTGTTACTCTAGCTATTTTGATAATAAATCTTATTAAAATTTGTAAACAAGAAAATACTATACTTGTGACTATTATGTATTTCTTTACATACGTTTCTTGTAAAGTTCACAATATTTTGGACCAATCATCCTATTACATTGATTCAATTCATGTCCATTACTAGGGGCTGGGGATTTAAGGGGCAGTATTGGGCTCCCCTAATTTTTTTTTCATTAAAGAAAATGATAGTTAAAGAAAATATCACTGAAATACATGTCTGAGAGGGCCATTTCCAGCCAACAAGAGGTACCATAGCTATAAGATATTGTACCTATAACTCAAAAAATATGGTGAGGATGAGTGAGGTAGTCTGTTACCGTCTCTCTCTTTCTATTTCGAGATTGAATCCACCACTGGAAATAGAATACATCATCTGCTGAAGAGCATAGTTATTAGTCTTATATATTCTATGGAAGTTATCAACAATAAACAATGCAAATGTAAATACTGTACATCATTATTTACATTTGCAGAGGATGAGGCAGCCTTGGTGCCAGAAATTTGCTGACAAGAAGTCCACACGTCCGAAGGAGGGGTCCGAATAGAGCCTGGGTCACAAGCGCCACCACTGGGATGAGGTAGGAAGGAGGTCTGTTCGTAAATCTAATAAATATATTGATCATTTTGTTTCCACAAACATTTTTAAAAAGTCTTCAAACTCAGTAAACAAAATATGTTATAAAACAAAGTTAGAAAAAAAAAAGTTTAAGAGGGTATACCCTCCTTCTTCCCACTGGGTACTTTCATTTCATCACCACTGAGTTTCTTCTAACACAAGGGTTGTGTCGCATAGTTGATACCTTATCTCTGTTTCGTTTCCCTTTCTCACGTAATAGCCTCTGATACAACAATCCAACCATGGTCGTGTTTCCTCTTGGATTGCATTAGCAAGAATGTCGGCACTAACTTCACTTATATTATGCGGACATATGTGCTTCAATCTTTTCTCTAATTGTTTCAAGCACTTTCCCATTAGATGCAAATTGCCTGCTGCTGCCAAGTTGAAGAAGGTTACCTATATGAATTTTAGGAGACATAAACAACAAATACAGATAAACAATGCATTACTGATAACCTCCGCCATGGTTGAGTTCTGGACTTGAGATTATGCAGCTATCCCTTAAGTTAATATTATGTTGACCAGCAACTGTGGGTTGCGTGACTGAGGCGATGTGACTTGTGAGTAGTGGCTACGCCAGGGGGGGTTTGGTAAAGCCCCACCATCGGCCAAAGCTCATCGGGCAGTCGGACCAAAAGAAAACATCCCCTCCCATACCCACCCCCACCCACATAAAAAAGCAAGTAAATATTGTACAGTCAATGCCACCCTCACATAAGTGTGAATTAGTAAAGGTCTCCCTAAAAATTGACCAGAAAACAGCTGTAACAAGTCTTTTCCACTCAGTTTGTTTACCGATTAGAAAACCAATAAATTTCTGCACAGTTTTGATTTAAAATTTGCCAGAGCTGTTTTGCTTTTGTGTATTGAAAATTGGATGGTTTGAAAAACAGTATTCTTCCATTAGTTGTTGTAGCTATGCAGGGCAAATGATGAGACTTGCAGGCTGACATAAACATGACATGTAGGACGCCTAGCAAAACATGAGACAGGGGTACCCCAAAAACGAACTTAAATAAACCATTTTCGAGTGGGGCCTTTTTAACCAAAAAAAAAAATTACATAACAAGAATATATAATATAAAATATGAATAATAAAGTATAAACAAAGGATCATTGCAATGTACTGACATTTGTAACATTACTAAATACTGTATCCATTTTTACTATTATCCAAAATTATTTATTTTATTTGCTCAAAATGCAACAGCAACAGAACTGATATAATATTAAACTATAAATATACAAGATATAGCCCGAGCTTAATGAAAAAAAAATACTGTGCATTAAATCAGCCAGCCAATGAGCCAACCAGTCAATCAATCAATCAATCATTAAATCAGCCAGCCAATGAGCCAACCAGTCAATCAATCAATCAATCATTAAATCAGCCAGCCAATGAGCCAACCAGCCAATCAATCAATCATTAAATCAGCCAGCCAATGAGCCAACCAGCCAATCAATCAATCAATCAATCATTAAATCAGCCAGCCAATGAGCCAACCAGTCAATCAATCAATCAATCATTAAATCAGCCAGCCAATGAGCCAACCAGTCAATCAATCAATCAACCAATAAATTAATCAGTCAGTTCACTGTCACTTGGCTCTCTGAATAACCTCCACAAGAGCTGAGGCAGGTTAAAGACTATCTATCCATTACATGATCGAAAGCCGGGTGGCACTGCACTGCATCCGCTGTAGTTCCCAAACTCAAGGTTTCCAATTTTCAAGTTAAATGAGGACTAATAGATTTATTAATAAAAACTATAGACTAATCAATCAATTAATAAGTACATACCTGTCTGAGTATTATCACTCCCGTGGCATCTTGGACATTCATAATATATTGGTCTGTTTAGGTTTTTAGATACATATACCTTGCTGGAGGGTTTAACCCTGAACCCAGACCGTACCAGTTTAAAGGCATCATTAATTGCAAGTTCTGAGGATAAACAATGATAATCATAATCAAATTGAATTCCTTCTTCCTTCTGATTTTGATTCTTATGTAGCAGGCCCAAATATGCTCATGATGACATCACATAATGACCATATATAGGCACATCAAGACTATATATGGGCATACAACAGTTTTTTTTTTCAAAGAAAATATGATAGTCTGGATTTTGAAATTGCTTACATAGATCAACACAAATATATCATCATTTTGTCCCTTAGAAAAAGATTTGCACATAACATTTGTATCCTCTCACAATCGGAGAGTAAAAACTTTTCTTCCTTGTCCTATATTTAACTGGGTGCTTGGATACCTGCAGCAGCCTCAGGGTAACGTTAACCGACAGGTAATGGATACTAACAGAAACATTGTTCTCTACTATTTAAGTCATTTTGAACCTGCCTAACTCGCATGTAAATCTTGAAAGCCCACAACTTACTTGATGTGAGGGGAATGATTGCGAATCCAGCATTGCCATCGTCTGATTGAGTGACTCTCACGTTAATTTCTTCACCATTAGTGTCTTCGATTACGCCAATCTTGGAGAGTACAGCTTGCAGTTGCGAGGTTGTAGGAATTCCCTTTGATATGTTGGATTTCCTTGTGGAGAGTACAGCTGTGTCTCTTGACGTTCCTCCACAAGAAGTTTCTAGTTGCGATGTTGTAGGAATTCCCTCCGATATATTGGATTTCCTTGCTGCTGCTGCTTTTCCTTTGGGAGGATCCTGACCTTTTGAAGAGTCTTTTGTATTTTTCTTTTGACATCCGCTCTTTACTGATGATTTGGTGATTTTTGTTGGAGGATTCCGCACTTCAACATTTTTGTTTCTTAGTCCACATCTTAAAGAAGGTTTTGTTGATGACTCCACATTCTGCTTTGGTGCAGGGTCACAGCCTTGTTTACTTCCAAGTACTCTCGTCACTGAAGATTTCGTTTTTTCTACACTCTCCTCTGCAGAAGGATTTTGAACTTCTGGAAAGCCTTTTGCACTTTTATTTATGCATCCTCTCGTTGCTAAAGATGTTGATGTTTCCACATATTGTTCATCTAAGAGTTTTCGTTTTCTCCTTGTTATCATACTATGAGCCTCTGATTCATCCCATTGTTGGCTATTGCTTCTTTTTTTCTTTTCTGAGGTATTCTCTGGTGCATGATAAATTATAAAATCAACCATATCAGCAAACTTTGTTTTGCCTTTGCCAGGACGCTTCTTCTGAATCCGTGAACTCCTTCTGCGAGCTTGTGGTAGTACCTTTTCTAATCTTTTCCTAGCCTCTCGCCGTGCTTTGTTGGTTTCTGAAGCTGTTGGCGTATTTGCTCTATAACAACAGAGATAAATACAATCAACTTGCATTTGGTTATAGTGCTCTTTCCTATAAAATATGTGATACAGTAGATCATTTTGGTAGCAGATTTAAACACAAAAAAAAAAGCTCCTTCTACAGATTGCAGCCATCTATAGCTTAACTGCAGCTACACAGTTGATAAAAAATTGAAAAAAACATCAAAAATTTAAATCATGAAGACATCATTCAAACGGATCAAATAAGGTATTATTAAGCCCTGCACTGCGTTTTACGATGGTCATATGACCTTTGTACGACGAATCAATGAATTCTTTGCGAGTGCTAAATGCCGCGATGCCATCGGACGATTGTCGGTGGCAGTCTGAATGGATCGCCAATTAAAACGTACATTTGCTAGCAGGTTGTGACGTTGCGTTCTACATAGAATCACGCCGGGCGTAGTGAGTGCTGGGCTTTAGAAAACAGAAAAACAAAAGTTTGTCTTTAAATTAAACGATTTACATACCTTAAGCCACATTCCGGGCAGGAAAGAATTACAAAGTCTTCAATTGTTTTGGGCCAGAAACTAATCACTTTTGCACGAACTTTAGAAAGATTGGGAGAAGAGATCTGTAAAACATTGTGGATTGAGGAAACTGCCAGATCATGGTGCCCTGAAATGACTATTAAAAAATTCTCAAAATTTAGATTTCAATATAAGAAAAGAAATTTTTTTTTTAAATTAAAGAAATGCATTTGTAGTTAGTTAAGTACTCACATCGTTGAGTTTTAACTAAACCAAAATAGCTTAACAGAGTATGAATTTGTGTATGGACTCAATAAAAAGTTAGTTGACTACATCATCATAAGGTAGTAAACTTTAATTACTTCATTATTATTAATATGAAATCATAAAATTAGCAATCAATCATTCTTTATTTTACTTGTAACAAAACAAAAACCTGATACAGGTGCCAAGAACAAAGGAGGCAAAAGTACTACATTTAATAATAATAATAATAATGTTGTATTTATATAGCGCATATTGCACATTGCCCCTATGCGCTTTACAGAGAAATAATATAGCAAATAACAATAAAATAGTAACAATAAAATAAAATAAAAATAATCATAATAACAATAACAATGAGACTAAACTACTCCTATTCCTTAAACTAATTAATGGTTGGCCGTTGACTCCGAGGAGCTCATCCGCCCTTTGTTTTAGTTTTAACACTTCATATCCTTAGAATGTAAATTAAAGCAAATACTTGTGGCGCCAAAAGGCTCATATAGGCTGGAGGTTACCCCCCAGTTTCAAGAATGTATATTAAACACAGGTTAAATTTTAAAAAGAGAGTAAATAAACAAATAAAAATCAACAATATATAATTTTCTATTTATTTTCTGTAAGGTTCTGAGAAGCTTGGAATAGAAACTCCATGACCTCTTAACGCTTTAATACATAATGTACATGAACCTACTGGTTGCCGATTCTTGCATACATATTGTTTTCTGGTTATCATCTCCAACTGCTTCACTCTCAGAGGCAGGAATATTGCAATTTAAGAATCCAAGTTGTTTTCTCTCAGTCAAGCTCAGCTCTTCAACCTTAATGCTACTTTCTTTGAGTCGTTGATCAGCTGTACTGAACAGCCTGCATTAAAACGACAAACAAACAGTAAATACAACACAATTTCTAAAAGTGGGAAAAAAGTTTCGAAAAGCACACCAGATATTGACTGAAAGCAGTTACCATTTCAAAAGTTACCTAAGCCCTAAGTATAACCTAACCATTCACCAGGAAAAGAAATAGATGAGAAACAAAGAGATTTAATTTTGGAATTATAGTACAAATGTTTAAGGGGAAAACACAAGAAAATTTGAATGTTTTTTTACTGTAGTACTGCATGTATATATTTGTGGCAAAGACAAGCCAAACCGGTCACTCGTCGCAAATCCTGTTTTGAAGATAATGGCCAAAACATGCTGAAATTTCAAAATTTTGGAAATCTATTTTATTGCACTAAACTAACTTTTATATATCTATACATCATGCTATGCTGTTATTTTTCTCATTTTCAATGTAAAAACAACAATTTTTAACGATTTGGTGATGGTTTCTGCCTAAGAAATGCCTGAAATCGTAAACTTTAAAGGCTGATTTCTCAAATATTGTTCTTTAAACAGCTGTATGTTTAAACTCGTGTAACTTCATAATAAAGTGTTGAATTTAAATAGTTTTTTTACCATTTTATAGCTCTCATTTTACTGTTAAACCCTGTATTAATAACTAAAAATTGATTTTTCCGACAAGTGACTGGTTTGGTTCGTCTTTGGAATGAATGAATTAGATTAGATTTAGAATAAAGCCAAAGCACTAACTGTGTTATGCGACAACTAATTTTGTACGAATCCAGCTCCACTCTATGTGATCGTTATTAAAAAGATCTACTGTGCTCATGTTGTGGTGTCGCATTCTCCATAAAATCGTGTTGGCCAATAAACCGTTGGCCGTAATGAGTGACTGGCTTAACATGCACAAGGGCTGCGACAGTGCGCTATACAGTGCGCTGAGGCACCTTTTCCTTAAGCTGAAACACAAGCGAAGCAGTGATGGAGGAGTGGGGGGAGGGCACCAAGGTTATATAGAGATCTCCAAGGTCCTGTTATAGGTGACAAATATCTGTGATTTGCCCAAATATATATTACTCTATTCAAGACTCGTTCATTTGCAACAAATCATGGCCAATGACCAAATTGCATGTTACAATAACTAGAGAACATTAAAATGTTACATTAAAGATAAAAAATATTTTTTATTATTATTATATTTACTACTACAACTACTACTACTATTGAAATTGTAAAAAAATATTTAAAAGGATAAAAACCCATCAAGCAACAAGATAAAACAACATGCAAAAAGGGAAAAAAAAAAGGCAATTCAGTCTGAGAAGGGTATGTTATTCAAATGACAATAATTCTGATTTATGAGGTCAACAAACTAAAGGATGGAGCTGTTAGAAATCTGTTTTGTATGGCCAGACATGAAATGTTATTAGTTTTGTAGGTTTTGACCATTCAGTTCAAAGTGGTGGTTAGCGTATAAGGACGTGATGATGTCATTAAACGTCCACATGAGCAAATCACAAGTAAATGACAAATACAAGTTGATAGTCTTAACGGAACATTAATATCATCAACAAAATGCCACCTACGCTTTCATCTCGGTAACTGCAGGATCGCTCTCTGGGATGCATTTTACCCCCCTGCCATAAGATGTGCCCCGATGTAGAACAAGCTCGAGGACGTCAGCTTGCCTGAACGGTGGGGCGTGCAAGTTGAAAAGCTTTATGAACTGACCAGCCTGCAATAGCAAATTAATTAAACTTAATTAAAGTCATTTTAATTAAGTTAACAATGTTTTACCAATCATTCATGATAAACTGGTATGCGAGGAGAAAATGTACACCATTGCAATGATTAGATTGGAAATATTTTACCGTCTGAATGAAGTTTTGGAAGGAAGAGGGGACAACATTGCCACATGTACATTAACAGCAAGACATCCATGAACGATTCACCTTTAATTTAGATGCAGCTTCTACATGGTCGTCATATATCCACACATCCACCACATAGCCTTTTGCCTTCTCTGCTAAGTCAAGATCCCACTCAAATTCGTGTTCATCTATGTTCACCCAGCGTATAGAGCTTTGGAAAAAATAATTAAAAAAACATTAACGCATAAGGATCCCATTTACATTTAAATTCTAAATAATGTTATAGTGTTTCAATGTTATGAGTTATGAATTTCTGGCAAAGGCTAGTTGGGTTCAGGAACAAACCTCTATACTAGGGGTTCAGTGGCCTTTTGGCACCTAGAAATATTGGGTAAATGTGGACACGCTAAGGTAATCTTAGACGTCCATTTTATACACAACTTTTCTGGTCTGACTTGTAATGGTTATGAGGAGGGCTTCTTATGTCAGATGGAGCAGACGGACAACTTACACCCTAAGTTACGCCCTCTAGCACAGTCTGCCCTCCACAGGACGGGTTACAGCTAGTAAAAACTATAAAAATAATAAGACACTTCATATGAGGGAAGTATCTCACCTCTTACACAGAGTGCCGTCCCATACTTTAAGAGCAATGCAGCTTTCTTCCGGGATTGCAACAGAGGCGACAATCTGAACACAGATATCAAAGTATTCACTGCTCTTTATGGAAGATAAAGTCATGCGATTCTGTGTTTCACTCTCTGGACATGATACGCTGCAATTTAAGAATCCTAATTGCTTTCTCTTTGTCAAGGTTAAATCTGCAACTTTAATACCACTGTCTTTGAGTCTTTGATCAGCTGTGTCGAACAACCTGCATTAAAAATACAAACAAAAAGATAAATACAATAGAATTACTTATGGCTTCTATAATTGACAGTGACTGGCCTGAAATGAGAATCAATGAAAATATTTAAATGCATTACCGTTGCTTAGCGCATACAGTTCAGCCGACTAAGCTTTACATTCTCTGTTTCAAATGATGATAAGTGGACCTTATTATATTGAACGACTGTGATTGTATTAGTAGTGTGAACGTAATTTAAAGCCGTTTTTATTTTTATTAATTACTTTTAACTTGATAGTGTGGAGAGTACAGTATACAAATAATGAATGTTTATGAGTGCAATGGGGTAGAATATTTCATTAAATGAAAGATTGGATGTTGCGCCACACCGCTTCCCTTTACCAATCTTTCACCTCATGAAATATTCAACCTCTTTGTACAAATGAAAAATTCATTATTTATGTTATACACCTAGGCCTAGCTCTATGTAGTCCTCGTTCGATACTGGGGCATTTTTTGTACAAAAAAAGGCAATAAAATATGAGCATTTCGCCAACTTCAGCAGTGAGGATTTGAGTCTATTATTAGCTGAACTTCAGCGATTTTTAGGTCTAGGCCGGTTTTATGCTGACCTTTGAAAGGAAGACGGGTCCTTGTATTCAAAGAAGAGCGGGTAGTAACATCATCACAGGATAGTACTCAAATAACCACGGAATATTCATTTTAAATCAATTTCACGTCACCTGTTTTCAACCAATCAAATTAATAGAATATACAGGTGTTGTATAAAGCTTTATGATCTATCAATAAAATGCCACATACACTTTCATCTTAGCAACGGCAGGATCACTCTCAGGAATGGCAATCACCCCTCTGCCATAAGATGTGCCCCGATGTAGAACAAGCTCGAGGACGTCAGTTTGCCTGAATGGTGGGGCATGTAGGTTGAAAAGCTTTATGAACTGACCAGCCTGCAATAGCAAATAAATTAAATTAATGATTTATTTATGATCATTCATGAGCTAGTACGCAAGGAGAGGACAGAAAGAGGAATGATATAATAGTTTAGTTTAGCTACAGTACTTTAGTTCGTATGTTTATACAGCGCCTCTTCCTTTACGTTACAAAGCACTTTGTTTTTCCCTGGTCATTGGGTCCACATGCTAAGTGTTGCTGCTAGTAATCAGCTCAGGAGCAGCGCTACTCCACCAGGTCCCCATTTATACTCCTGGGTGAAGAGAAGCAATGCAGATAAAGTGCCTTGCTCAAAGATTGCACAGCGAAAGATTGAAACCCAGACTTTGAGTTTGGGAAACCAAATTGTTCCCACTTCGCCAAACCGCTTTCACTTTTAATAGATTCAAAGTTAATATAATTTAATTATTAAATTAGCTAGTTAACTGTAAACATGAACAGAAGACAAGGTGGTGTATTGTTACAAGTTCATAACTGTAAGAAGTCTTTTTGCAATTCACCTTCAATTTAGATGCAGCTTCCACATGGTCATCATATATCCACACATCTACCAAATAGCCTTTGGCCTTCTCTGCTAGATTAAGATCCCACTCGAATTCGTGATTATCTATGTTCACCCAGCGAAGAGAGCTTTTAAAAAAATACATGAAAAACATAGATAATGAGTTATATTTACATAATTCAAATAATAAATAATATAGTAATGTTTATGAGTACAAGGGACGAATATAGTGATTCCATGCAAAACATAGTACAGATATAAAGTCAATGGTACAATGCAGATCTGATCATTTTTTTGGAATTGGCGCAATATAAATGTTTGATTGATTGATTGAATTTTTAAGTATAACATAATACTAATATTTCTATTTTCCAAGCACAGACCCACTGTAAGTTTATTGTTTGGACATCTGACTCATCTGGTATTTTAATATAAAAATAGTCATGAAAATGATAAAAATAACAAAATTGCAAACATATTACAGACCTAAAGCTAATTATTACGTACAACATAATACTAATAAGAATAAGACAGCAAAGTTGGGCAATCATTGGGTGACGTGAAGCTGTCTGCTGATTGGTGGTGGTAGTTTGAACGAATCTTCATTCCATTCTTCAAAAACTATTTGTTCCGCACACGTCGTCGCATTGTGTTCTTCATAGAATCGCGTCGGCCATAGTGAGTGCCCAGCTTTAGAAAGCAAAAGCAGCAGTTCGAGACCAGATGAGATTTTATTATCACTAACAACAATAATAAATAAATAACACTACTGCAGTAAATGTCTATTATTAAAATAATAATAAAGATTATAGAATTGCAAGATTTCCGAATGCCTTCATTTTACATGCATGCGATGAAATGTAAAATGAAGTACTACCTCAACATAGAGGGCGCCCTATTAGTATTTGAAAAGAGTTTGAAACTCAAACCTGTATACTACAGATGCAACATGAGTATATGAACATCATTTATGTTCCTTTAAAGGATGCCCTCTAGTCTGTGATAATTCTTTTCGAGAAAGAATTCAACGAAACAAAGAGAGTCAAGACATTTTGCAATTCTATACTCTTATATTATAATAATAATAATATTAATAATAGAAGAGTAACAATAATAATAAATCTCTGCATATCAACAACATGTATATTACCTCTTAAATAGAGTACCATCCCATACTTTAAGAGCAATGCAATTTTCATCTGGAATGTACAGTTTTGCTACGATCTGTACGCATATATCCATGTATTCACCGCTCTTTATGGAAGACAAAGTGTGCTGTTTTTCCTGAGAGATCGCGTCACCTTGCACCCAATTACGAAGATCGTCCACCTGTAATCATAGGAATCAGAAGTTACACACTTATTCTCTTTTCTTTCTACAATATGGTTAATAAGAATGAAGCTTGTCAGTTACTATGCTGTTTACAAAGATGTTTTTTGGGGAAGAACATTTTGGCCACATCAGAATTTTAAACAACATCATCCAAACATCATTCACATACATTATATTAAGCAATGTCCAGATTATCAGCTTTATGTGACTTGACAAAAAACTGTTGTATGCCCATATATAGTCATGATGTGCCTATATATGGCCATGATGTGATGTCATCATGACCATATATAGTCATGATGTGCCTATATATGGCCATGATGTGATGTCATCATGACCATATTTAGGCAAAATTTATAATGCAATAATTATTAAACTATTCATGCACAAGGTCTCTATCCATCATCTTATTCTAATTATTATTAGCTAGGCACAGAATGATGGCCCATATCATCAGTAGAAGTGGTTTGATGCAGTGGTTGTGGTTCTGCTTCTCTACCTAGAGGTCGGAGGTTCAATCCTTTGCTGTGCATTTAACTTGTGCCCTTAGACAAGGCACTTTACCTACAGTCGTCTCTCTCCACTAAGGAGTACAAGTAGGTACCTGGTAGGTTTGAACACAAAATGCGCTGATTACAACTGCAACATTATGGAATTTCCCCCAGGACCTGAGTATGTGTTCCATGTGTGCTTGATCCAATAACTGGGGGTAATAATGTGAAGCGCTGAGGCCTTGTTGGCATTAAGTGCTATATAAGTCTAACATATTATTAATAGTGAATTATATCAATTGGCTCTATACAACAATAAATCAACTGTTTGTTGATTGATAATCTACCTACATGTATCTTATCATTTTCTGTGAAGGTGTACAAAGGAGTGGTTGATCTGTGCCTATAGTCTGTGCCACTTCCATGGAAAACAAGGGCTGCAAATCCTGGTGAGTTTCTCCCCTGCATACCACCATTGTACATCCGAATCTAAGATCAATTTGAAAATTAGAATTCAGGGTGCAGACAGGTTGGAGGGGAGGGGGTTTACAATATTCAAATGATGTAAAATATAACAAATAAACATCAAAACTGTCACTCAATTAACAAATGGCATAAACAAAATTATTGTAAGTAGAAATAAGATAACAAATTTAATAAAAATAATAATTAAGATAAAAAATTAAAATATCAGAAATTTACAATAATAATTGTCAGGATCAAAGCCAAGACATTGAATTTTGTAGAAGCGTGTGAAGCAGCATGTAAGGCACTGGTTTTTCATTCGGAAGGTTGTGGGTTCGAGACTGATGCTTGTCACACTGCTTGTGTCCTTGGGCATTTTCCTCTCTTCACCCAGGAGTATAAATAAATTGGTACATGGTAGGAGGTGAATGATTAAATGATAACTAGGAATACTCCCTAAAGAAAAAGCGCCTTGAGGAGTTTTCTGGCTAAGTGCGCTATATAAATCCTATTAAAAATACATACATACCTCTAAACGGTGCAATCGTACTATGTCACCAGTAGTCACAATATTTGGCAAAGAGTCTTTTTGTTTCATGAACAATATACACAAGAGTCCTTTGTCATTCTTATCCAGTGATGAATCAATTATTCTTATTGTCATGCAGTAATCTGAGAAATTAAATAATATAAAAATTAATTTCATTAAAATTATTTTATTAATATATTTAATATGATAGTTTTCTACTGTCGTAGTAAAAAAAGAAAAATGTTTGTAAAGAGAGCCATTTCATGATTTAGTCCACTTCATATATTGATTTTTTTTTGTTATAGTCTTTTGTGATGTAATATATGTTTGTCAGAAATGTAGAAAAACAAATTTAATAGTGAATATTTTTGTAAGTGCAATGGGAAGAAAATGATCCACCAACACATGAGACCAACAGCATAAACATCTCCCCCATAAAATGGTGCGCTTTGAAACTTTTAGCCCTCCAGCAAAAACACAAGTAGAACATCGGATATAATTGAACTGGGGACAAAAGATCTTCACGATTCAGTGCAACCACAGTGGCTACCACCAGTTTACCAGAATGAGCTAAGCTCCCCTTTAACATACAGAATTTAAAAAAATCTAGTTCAGCATTACCTGGCCCTCTCCCTCTGTATGGAGGTTTGAAGAATTTCACCACACCATACACGTTCACAATCATGCCTTCCCTTACATCCGCAAGAGGAGTATATGTGTAATTCTGTAAAATCATATAACAGTATACACTCATGTCATGCATTCCACATTTACATTTTAAAAATTAATATCTATTAAAAAAGATAAAGAAAAGAAATACTCAAAAAAGCAACGACTGAAAAGCAAAAACTGATTACCAGCCAAAAAATTTGATGCAACAATAGTGGAAGGGTATTAATTTTGTGTCTGGTGATGGAAATATGCATGGTCTCACCATGAAATGAGAAGCATTGTTGATGAGATCACATAGAAATAATGATGACATTAATTGCAATACAAAATAAATTAATTAATAAACTCAAATTTAAATCTTTTTTTAATTGATTAATAATAATTAATAATTTAAATCCTTATTTTTAATTTGTAATGTTTGCAAACCGGTAGGTGTATTGCATATTTGGACTGGTACTTATAAATTGCATACCACGGCTGAACTTCTTGACTTGGGTGTTTCGTTAGGAATCTGTTTTGATGCATATGACGTGGATGGCCTATCACTTTCGGACACAGTAAACGTAGTGTTGATTGAAGCGTTCACACTGGACTTACAGGACGTACTCGTACAAGTGGATGGCATATCTTTCGACAGAATCGGTGGTGTGTTAACTGAAGCGTTGACACTGGACACACTCCTACGTGATGTGGATGGCATATCTGTAGACACAATCGGTGGCGCGTTCACTGAAGTGTTCACATTGGACGCCCTCGCACATGGGGTTAATGGCATATCTGTAGACACAATCGGTGGCGCGTTCACTGAAGTGTTCACATTGGACGCTCTCGCACATGGGGTGGATGGCATATCTGCAGACACGATCGGTGGCGTGTTCACCGGAGAATTAACACTGGATGCACTCACTGTACTGATAGGAGTATTTTGGTTCAGCACAATCGGCGGTCCCTTTGAAGTAGTGCTCTTGGGCATGCTTGACAGTGAAACACCAGATGTTCTCGAATTCGCTGGTGCCTTTCTTGAAGAAGTCCCTTTCGATGTACTTGGAGGTGTAATCTGATGGAGTATAACTGATGTTGAATTGAATAAAGTGTTCTGAGTTGCTGTAGTCGATGGTGCGCTGGTTGATGTATTTTTTCCAGACACAATCACACTATGAGGCCTTGAAGGCGCTGGTGGCCTAACCTGTTATATAAAATGGAATAAAACAATTGAGTATGTTAAAAAGATTGAAAAAGCTCATTATGAGGCTTAGGGAGTGGAGCTGTTTTTGGTCGTGAGAAAAAATCCTGTTACCGTGACTGGAATTGAATGCTGTACCCTAGGAGTAGAAGGCAAACAACTTAAAATCAAGCTATTCAACTCCACTTAACTAAAAAGGATGCAAGTCAAAATTAACACAGATAACAATACCTGTATGTGATGATAATAAGACAATGTTGTTGATGCTGATGATGGTGGTGGCAATGACAACGACAACGATGATAATGATGATGATGATGATGATGATGTAATAAAACTATTGAATGTACCTGGACCTCTGGCATTGGTTTAAAATCTTTGAGGAGGATAGCAAAGGGATGCACTTTGTCATTCATGTAAGTTGTAGACTTCTCAAGTTTTCCATTGAAGATTAGCACTTCATGCTGTGTGTAAGAGAATAACACAGTAGTGAGCAGGCCTAGCTAAATATGCAATGCGACTTGGGAAATTTAATAAAAACTAAAGATTAAAGACTGTTTGCTTTCTCAAACAGTCTCATGGTTTGTTCAATTTTTAAAAATCATATCGAAACAGGGTCTAAGCCCTGTCCAGACTATCAAATTTTATTTGACAAAAACATGTGACATGCCTATATATGGTCATGATGACATCACATCATGGCCATATAAAGGCACATGATGACTATATATGGGCATACAACAGTTTTTTTTGTCAAAGAAAATGCGACAATCTGGACAGAGCTTTAGAGAGTGCAGTTGTCTATAAATTTTACACAAATGTTTCCAGTTTTACAGTGATGAAGGGAGTTAGTGATGACATCAGCATTTCCTAAGAGAGGTGGTCCATCATTCCCCAACAGCTAGTCAACACCAACCTCAGTTTAGGGGCTAAAGCTTTGTTTACACTATCAAATTTTATGTGACAAAAAAATGTGATGTGCCCATATATGGGTATGATGACGTCATATCACATACAGGTACTATCAAACTGTATCAAAAAAAGTTGAACATGTTCAACTTCTATTTTCCATCACATTTTTATGTGATGCATTTTTGATGAAATTTGATAGTGTAGACAAAGCTTAAGATGGAAAAAAAAAGGTGATGTTCCATCTACTTCCTAAAAATTACACTCAGGTTAGAATTTACCATGACTAACCAACATTTTGAGCAGGTGTCACCCAAAAACCAGCCCCCTGCTGGCACCACCGCACAGGTTTTCAATCTTCGCCGGGAAATTAGGAGATATCATCTTAACCACAAAGCAACTGTACCACTCGTGTGACAAAACCTCTGCACCACATTAAATGCTGTATATATCATTTTTTTTAAATGACAAGAGAGGGTCATGAGTCATCTAATAAGCATGCATTCTCCATAGGACAGGAAGGAGACAATAGGAAGCAGGAAACAATGCAATCTCTATACCTCAATTTATTCCAACCATCTGTTATAATCAAAGCAGGCCACACACAACGCTATAATCCCCCAAACAGGAAAGTGGCTCAATCCAACTTTTTGTGGAAATATTAATCTGTTAAATCCAGGCTACAGAGGAAAACATTTTTATGAAATGTTGTACAAATGAATTGTAGAGCATTGAAGGGGTGTTTGATGTTTGAAGTAACCACCAGGAACAGCTAATAAGAAAATCTTTAACGAAATAAAAAAATATGAGAAACGAGGCACATATTCTCCCCCAGTTCCTCCAATATTCGAAAAATATGTATCTTATTAGCCATTCATAATTATTTATTCAGATACCCCTTCAATGACTGAAAATATTGATTTATACAAAAAAATTTTCCCTAATAGAGGCTGATTTTAATAAAGCACTACAGTTGGTGGCTGAAGAAAAGGAATACTTGAAATAGGAGAAGGAGTGGGGATCACGGATACAGTACTTTCTTGTTAATCCACATCGTTCATACCAGACATGAATGTGGGAATTTTTTCAGTCAGACAAAGATGATTACTACATGAGACTCAAATGTCGGACATTGCTCTTGTGCGGTTTTTACCACATGAATGAATGTGCTGCTTCTTTTAAACAATATGTTAGTGTTTAAATTAGTTCCACAGCACTCATATATCATTTATTGAACTTTTCATTTTTTACAAATATTCTATTTTTTCCAACCAGTAATGGATTACAATATTTTATGTACAGTAATATAGTTTTTACTGTATTTTGTGTTTGTCTTCATTCGAATATGAGAATTTACATTTCTTTTTCAACCCTAAAAGGAATGTTTGACTTGTTTTATGTTTGATTTGTTTTTAATTCATGGAGAAGTAACTTCAAGGAGCTCTGGTTAAATGAGGTTTCTTAACACATCTACATTTATTTTGCTGGCATTGGTCATACCCATCAGCACTGTTTTCCTTGAGAGACAATTGATAATAAAGTATTAAAAACATGCACAAATTATGAATTTGCGGAATATGAGTTATCTTCCCGGGAGATTCTTGCTTGCTTACGGGAGTCTCACAACTTGCAGAAGACTTAGGACCCCGATTTATGTAAGGGATTACCACTTAAGATAATTACTAACATCTAACATATCTATCAAATAAATTCTAAAATCTGTGAAAATGTAAACTTAATATCAATTGGATTGCATACTCCAAACAAAACATAGTAAATATAATATTATTTTTACCTCTTCTTTGACACAAGCAAACTTAACAGCATACTCGCCTAACAGAAATAAATTTATTCGATGTATTTCATTGGCGATGGATTCCTCCAATACAACTTTCAGCCTATGTCCCTTTGGTGAATTCACTAGCTCCCATTTCTTAAAAATAGTTGCCTAAAAGAATAAACATAATTTGTATAAAAATATAAATTATAATCATAATATAAAACAAATAACATGACAAGAAAGTACTTCAGTCAAATAACACTAGGCACCTAATTCTAGCACCATATTTTTTGTTCATTGATATGCAAGGCACTACTTGGTGGATTGTATACTCATTAGTAAAACAAAAAAAATCTTAATGAGCTTTCCGATATCTGTGATTGGTTTAAATATAACAAATTGTCGCTCAATACAGATAAAACAAATCTTATGTTTCTAACTGGGAACACCGCACCAAACCAAAAATAAAAATTCAACTTGTTGTATTTATTTGGATAGTTGTGAATTAACCTGTGTACAAGAGGCATCATTTCTTTGTGTAATTTTAGATCAAAATCTTACTTGGAAACGGCATATCAACAACATACATAAGTGTTCTAAAAATATTGGTGTGTTAAACAAAGTGAAGCATTTCTTACTGAAGAAAACTTTACTATTACTGTACTATTCTCTTATTTTGCTCTGGTATTATGGAATGTTACCCACATCCTTTAACAATATCTTTACTGATCACTAAAGTATTCATGGGTACAATCCTAGAAATAAAAATAACTATCGACTAGTTATCCATAAGATTGAGTCTGTATTTTCAATTGGACCTAAATTTTGGAATAACTTGCCTGAAAAAGTTAAAAATTCTCATAGTGTTAATCAGTACAACCGAAGATCAAATTCATAAAGCAAGATGTGCCACACGTAAATCTGTCTCTTATACACATCTGGTGGGTGGGTGGGTGAGTGTACTGTATCTGTCTGTTTTAATGTAAATGTTTACATATATTTATATATTTAATGTTTTTTTTTATATTGCTATATTAAAGATTTTGTCTTATTTTTTTAAGGTAGTACAACACCATGTCAGGCCATGCCTTTATTGTACTTCCTCCATCTTAATTTGTTTTGTATTTTTTATTATTGATAGAAAATAAAGATTGACTGATTGATTGAAAAAAAAAACTGTGTTACTATCATAATATTAATGGTAATAACTACAGACTACAACTTGAATTATAATAGTGTACCTGTATATACTTTCCCTGTAGAGAATTTAAATTTAAGATCTCATTAAGATGAGTCTGTCGACCTTCTGAAGGAATGGAGAAATCGGACCTAGCAGTCAGTAATTTCACATCAGCCATGTTCTGCAAAAAAAAATGTGCGATGTTCATTTCATTTATTTATTCAACATTTACACTTACAGTGACTATAAAATAAAATTTGTGAAAAAAAAAATAAATGCTGGACAGGTGTACTGTAGCTTAAGTAAAGTACATTGCTATAACTCAGATGAGCTAGCTACCCCTAAAAAATAATTAAATATACAATTAGATATATATAAATTATAATAGAAATTTACAAATTAAGCCTATAGTATTCAAAATTTCACTATATTTACAATACACATACAAGAAAAACTGAAAAAAATGATGTAGAATTAAGAATAGAATGTACAGAAGACTAAAAGGATATCAACAACTGACAAATTAACTCAGACTTAAAGTAGAACATTGCAGAAGTAGAGATTGCAGTGTTGAATATATTTATTGACCGTATTAACAAGTATAACAACAGTATAAAATATGTAACGTTTACTATGGTCGAGAATCAAAATAGAAACTAGTGATTGGTCTGTCTCTGAAGATATACAAAATAATATATACTAAATAACACACAATATGACGACATAAGACATGCTTATTTATAGATTTGTTTAGCAAAATGCTTTTTAATACCGTATGCTTTACTTCTCAATGCTTTTAATATGCTTCACATTCCAATCGGATATTATTAAACCGAAAGTTCAAGCGTACTGTGACCTTTACGTTTGATTATTTACCTTTCCACAAAGAGTAAAGTTACATTTTATTATCATAATCATAAACCATTGGTTCTTCTCAGAACAACATTTTAAAAAATAATAATAGAACTGGAAGTATGCTTTTTATTTTATTTCATTCATTCCAACACAGCAAAAACCATAAACACCAAGAAAAAAAAGGAGGGAGGGGGGAGGGAGCTGTACAAGCCACTACACACCTGACACCGCTCCTCCTCAGCTCTAATCTAAGGGACCATTAATTTTCACTATTTTCGTGAGATTACAAAACACGTTTTTTTTTTGTTTTTTTTGTTTTTTGGGGGGGGAGGGGGGTGGGAGGGGATTGACATTGTAGACAAGTGTATGTATGTTTGTACTCTTGCACAAATAAACATACCATAATTCCTTGTGTATAAACTACTGATTTCATGTATTTCATGTACAGTACCACCATTTCCCAAACCCAGAGCAAATAAAATACTTACAAATATTTTTCAAAATGAAATCAAAGATAGGTTTTGAATTAGACCTTCGTCTTAATCAACAAGATATATTCTCGTACTGTAAACTGTCTTGTGTCCATCTCTTTGATCAATGGCTGCTTACAGTACGTCCAACAGGAGTCTACCCATAATGCAATTAGGTCAAAGGCAAAATTGACAATGTCGACTCTCAAAGCTGCACTTGACAATATCAACAATTTAATAATTCCAAACACTTAAATTTACCGAATGCTAGTACATTTAAATTAAACTTTTAAAGATTATTGTCATCTCAAATTTCCTCAAAATTTGTTTTATTTCCTTGTTTACAATTTGAGCGGGAAAATATGATCATGTGACCATTGACTGACAAACCCATAAAACGTTTCTTCAAATACATTTACAGTAGTGCATACAATAGTATAGTACAGTGTCACAATTAGAATCTATATGAAGCATACTGTAAGAGAACAGGCAAAAATTGAAATTTGTTTTTTCATCCGATGTTTTCAGACCTGCTATTTGATATAATATACAGGATCTTGTCTCAACACAGCCTATTAACAAAATTTACAATTCAAAACTCATATTAATACATATTAATTGGAAAAGCAATCCTTTGCCCTGTTTGCAGCTGAGAATCTAGGATTAAATGCACTGCAAATATTCATGTTTATTTAACTTGATCCTTTGACCTGAATTTCGTCAGGTCTGCCATATTGATATAAAATACATACTTGTCTCGAATACGTCCTAACATTAAACAAAACTTTAAATTTAACTACTCATACAATTACAGAAAAAATGGCGGGAAATAGAGGGATGTGAAGACAATTTTTTTTTTCCCTTTTCTGTAGGGCAACAGATGTAGGACAGTTGAGTATTCCATTTAGGTGATTACATTGTCAAAAATCATTTCTGACTTTGATTTAATTTTTTTGGAATTAATATAATTGTTATAATATGAATAGATGACATCTGTAGTTACTGAAACATTCTAGAATCATACCACTTTTTATATATTGGTCTATAATATATATAATATATGAGCATTACGAACAGACATTTTAATAATAGATAAATTGTATAAAAAAAACTTAAATTGAATTCTTTGATTACTGGTAAAAATTAGGTGAAACATGTATAAATATACATAAAAAAATTAGTAAATATTCCTGGTAATTAGTAACAGTAACTAATTGGGTGTAGTCTACAAGTTAGACGTCCATCCGTAACCCAATTTACAGTAATTACAATATTTTTTCATGCCTGTATGCAATAGTTTACAAATAAAAAATCATATTGATCTATCTTTCCTACATTGATAATTAAAAACTAAAATACTGTAATAACATTTTGTTAATTCCACATTAGTCAAATATTACATCCTAATATCATTTCCTTTCAAGCTAGTAATTTAATCAACTTATTTATTAAAAATGTAAAGTTTTATAAATTGAAATGTTTTGTTTAATAACTTTTTTCATAATTATATAGGCCCTGTATAGTAGGTTAAACAGAATGTCAGTATGTACTGTATATTTACTTAAACATAAATGATTTTATAAACAATAATTATCAGAGAGGCTACAGTATAACAATCCATACTTTAAGAAAAGGTCAGCTAGCATATTTTTAATTAAATATTATTATTTTATAATAATCTTTGGGATGTTGGTTGCAAAAAATATTGTCCGTAACACTAACAAATGTCCGTTTGTAACACTTTCTTTTCGTTATAACTCTAAGATTATAAATTATTATTACATTATTATTTATTTACTTTTTAAATTCTTTTTATAATAATAATAATAATATCATAAGTTAAATATTATCAATTATAATAATCACTGGGATCTTGGTTGCAAAAAATTCTGTCCGTAACACCAAAAAATGTCCGTCCATAACACTTTCTTTTTATTAAAACTCAAAGATTATAAATTATTATATTACTTTTTTATTATTTTTCTTCTAATAATAGACAAGTAAAATAACTTATTTTAGCAATGAAAAATATTTGTCAACTCTCATTTTCCTAGATGAATATTTTTGTTGTAAAAATTAAAAACAGCCAACACTATCTTGTCCATTTTTTTTTTTATAGTAACAATAACAATCCACGCAATACTTTTTGTAAGATAGAATATTAAAATAATCTTGCATAAAACATAGGAGGAACCAGCTAAGAGTAGCATAAAATGTTTTTTGGGAATTAAAATTGAAAAATGTTCTTTCGTAACTATGGACTATTATAATTTATGAAAGTTATTATTAGCAAATAGTATTGAAATATTTGTAAAATAATGTCTTAAAGGCTTGCATGGAGAATTAAATTAAATAATCATAGGTTTTCGGTACACCTTGGAATATGCTACAAATCTCAATTTATGGTATCTTGGTTCTGAGGAGAACCGTCTGGATTGTAATGTCCTATATTTTTGTAGTTAACACTATAAAGCAACTACCCATCTGGCCTGTATTGACTTATTTGTATGGGCTTTTAGATGCCTTAAAGATATATTTGGTATTTTTCATAAATATATCAGGGGCCTATGAACATAAATTATTAAAATATATTCATACTATATTATATTACAGTATTATATTTATTGTCTCCTGTAGCACAGAATACTAGAATGAAATACTGTCTGTATACAGTTAGTTATATCATGTAATACCTAGACAGGATGTAATACTGTAAAACATAGCAGTCTGAAGGAATGTTGTTAAGGCTTGTAAAAAATACTTGTTTTGAACATCCTCTCCCAATTGTAAATTCCAGCAAAACTAGTGATTTTTACTTTATTAAAATCTAAGATCAATAAAAATATATAAAATTTTGTGTATTACTGTATTTCCCACATGGTTGAGTTCAATAAAATTTAATAATAAAATCATAATAAAATTTAGTATCATAAGTAACTTACAGCTTAACCTTTCACAAGTTGGTTAAATAATACCATTCCTATTACTTTAGGTTTAGGTACGGGAGGACGTGCCCACTGGTTTTGTCAATGTCATACAAATTCTAAATGGTACATATTTTGTAAGAACATATTATACTGAACAGGAATCATACCATTATTGGATACATACTGTAATTTATCTGTATAAATTACACAAAATCAAATTATGCCTACCAAGATGCTAGATTATATAGATGGAATCTTGAAAGCATATGCAAATGTAATAATTGTGATGCCATAGAAGATGAGAAACATGTTTTTTGAATGTCCACATAACAATATACAGTATTATGGGAAAAAATCGATAAAATATTTTTTTTAAAATAGATAATAGTAAAAGTACTTTTAAAGAGCTCCTGTTAGGGTGTGAGTGTGACATAAAACACAAATGACTGTATATACAATGGCTACTTATTCGGTTTATAAAATAAAAATATTAACTGAATTAAAAAAGCCGACCTGTACAAATCCATGGGCTGTATTTAAGTCAATTGTAAAATATATGGATACATTAGGTTTGTTATAATTATTAATTTTACAGTTGTAGTGTATTCCAATATTGGTTTCATTGTCAATATACACATACCGGTATAAATATATAAATATATATTGTAATACAAAAACAAACAAAAACAAAAAAAGTACTGACAGTATTATATCTTGTACAGATATAACGCAGTGATAGTCAATGGATATGCAAAAGGCATTTATTATATTTATTTATATAATTTTATAATTTTTTATTCAATTTCATTTCATTTTTTTTTTTGTTTCTATTTTATAGAAATGAGTTCGTTATTATCCTAAGATACGCTTTAACAAAAAGATGTAGGCTTAAAAAAAAATAAAAGTGTAAGAACATAATATAAGCGAAAACCAAGAAAAATGGAGAAATATCAAATTGTCTTGATTGTATGGAGATGAATAAAGGTGGTGGTGGTTACCCAACAAAAGAGGAAAAAAAAATGTCTTAAAAAGGTAAAAGCATGGAAAAATGACCGGGCAGAATAAAAAAAAAACCACGGCTTTTCTTCCTACTTCGAGCAATTAATGATAATAATAATAATAATAATTCTTGAAATTTACATTGTTAAGGGATACACCGACTACCTATGTATGTAAATTATATAAATGGACCGAAATTGTCTATTACTAAAGAGATACATAATACCCTGATTTTGACCATATTCAACTAACATGTACAGAGGTTAGTTTAGATTGACCGCCTTAGCCTAGAATGCATTACAAATGAACGTTACTCCCGAAGCTTCAACCTACGCTTTGGTGGTCACACTGAGCAGAAAGATGAAGATTCAATTAAGTTAATCACCGACTTTATTAAACTAAAACTGGATCTTAATGTGGTTATTGAAAGTGCACATCGTATTGGAACCCTTAACAAAGATAGAAATCGTCTCATCATAGCAAAATTTCTATATAAACCTGAGAGATTCAATGTTCTAAAAAAGGCCAGGCAATTGCTCAAAGGGTCCAAATTCTACGTTAAGGAAGACCTTCCTTTATGTGATGCTCGCAAAAAGAAAAGTCTCAGCAATGTGATGAAAGCTGCTTACAACGAAGGAAAGAAACCTATCTGCAAAAATGGAAACCTTTACATTAATGGTGAACTTTATGTTGACAATTAACCAACTAGACATTGGATGATTAAATCACAGCATAACTTGCTTATGTGACTGAAGTAAAAATTTATTATAAGGACTGAATCTTAACTTTTGCTTTATGCATTTAATATCTAAAGGAAGGTTGTTTTTGCGAAGCAAATTTATTTAGATTATTGCATGTTATCTTCTCCGTCCGTTACAATAAATGATGGCTATATCTGTTTTTAAAGTACAGTATGTGTTGTCTTGTCTTTTTTTTACTTTTGTGATGTACTAAATTCACTACATCATGCCTGTCTCTTATACACATCTAGATGTGTATAAGAGACAGAGAACAAAGCTGCCGCAGAGCATAAAG